AATTAAATTTTTAAAATGTGACATTATTGTCATGTAATTTGTCTGTGGATTGGAATAATGAAACCCTGTTATACAAAAAGTTCTTGGCAACACATTTGTGTTGGTAATCTGCTCAATCTCCCTTCAGTGTGCTGAAGTCTGGTGAAAGTTGGGTGCTTTTCTAGATAGCAACTGACCATTATTCTTTCTTACTTACTTACGCATCCTTTTTAAATCTGTTGCCTTGCTTTGGACTGCCCAAGCACTGGTTCGGTTTAATATATTGTGTGATCAAGGTGTGCAGAATGCAGATACTTAAGGTTTTCGCTGGGCTCTAAAGAAGAAATAATAATCTTTTCTAAAGTCTGATGCATTTCATATTCTATCCAAACAGGCATACATATTTGTACAATCAATAGGATCTTATTCAATGGAATTCTTCTCCTGGGTGTAAAATTAAAAGACTCAAGAAACTATTAGCTCTCTAAAGCCTTAAAGAAGCTGCTAGATTGGAACTCATGCAATTTTGTCATCAGCTATACTAATCTTGATTTCAAATGCTTAAATCATCACAGGCTGCAAAAAGTTAAATATTAAAATGCTCTCATTAATGTCCCCCCTCTGGATTTCACAGTGCTTTATCAAAGAGTAATACCACAATGGACTAAATATCTTTGAATATATTTATCCTCTGGGAAAGAGACATTTACAGAAATTCCGGAGATGAAAATGTCAAATGTTACTCATCCTGTCTGTGGCTTTTTATTCCTTTTTGAAGTATGTTTGCTTCCACTTGGTAGCTGAGGGTGTCACTGCTTGTTATTTGATATCTGGAACTAGGGCACACAAAAGGATGACTAATCCCATTTACTGGAATTTTACAGTTTTCATCAGGCCACAGTTTCCATTTCAAGCTTTATAGTAAAAGCAAAACACCAACTGGCAAACTGACTCCTGTTATTGCTGTAGTAAATTAATATGGATTGCTATTACAGTAAAAGAGTCCTTTCTGAAGATTATTTCTTGAATTGAAAAGAAACTTAAATTTAAATCTTTTCTGAGAGGCAACTATACACTATGTATCTTATATGAGAGATATATGAGAGGTATATAGCTATGTATCTTATATGAGAGGTAACTATATACAGTACAGAATACCCATGTATCTTGATTATTTTTTCGTTTAGTATTCAGCTGATCTCAAGGATCTTATAGTCACTGTTTTCAGCTGTTCTTTACAAAAATGTTTTATTCTGGTTTCTCCAGCACTTCTACTAAAGTAACATTTCCAGAGCCTCAGTAAGGGCAGCTATAGCAAGCTTTCAAAACTGGTCTGAGCTCATTGTGATAAATCTGATAACCCTGAAGAAGAAAATCTAATTCTAAGATAGTCATCTGCTTGAATTCTAGCCCTAAACTCCTTCATTTAAATCACTGTGTTTGTCTCTTCCCTGGTATCAGTTCATTTCTGTTAGTTTTCCCTCTTTCCCTTTTTGCTCTCATGAATTACCGTCAGTACATAATATGGCTTCTTCCATCACACATAGTACATGTATTAAATCCAACCCTGTGACCTCCCGCACAGTGGGCAGCTACAACATAGCACAGATTTAAGTGCATTGAAGTCAGATGTTGAATTCACAAAGAAATAAAATCTGCATTGCCTGCTCTTTGCTTTACTCCAAATCCTACACTACCCAGTATTTTGGACCCCGCATTTTCTGATCTGTCATCTGAACACCTCATCTTCAGATGAGACTGTAAGACCTAGCTAAAGGAGATGTACGCTTGAAAATGAAGACGGGAGATTTCATGATTTTTAGACCTTGTCATCAACACTGATTATATGTGATTTTTTTTATTGCTTTGCAGATTTTTCTCTTCTTGTCTTCTGGAAAGTGAATCTGCAAAGTAGAGTTTCCCAGAGTCCTGTTTTGCAATGTAAGTAGTGTTTATCTGGGGGACCCCTAGGGTCCTCTTTCAGATGGAATGAGAGACGTGAACTACCAGTACACAGAGGATGATAGGAGTTGGGCAGACTCTTGAAGGTTCAAGTCTCTGTTACGGATAGCATTGGGTTGATTTTCAGTCTCTTGAAACCGAAAGTTTTAGCCATGTACTGGCTCTATGTTGGGTAACACCAGATAGGCCAACTGTGCAGCCTGAATGACTATGGCGTTCAGAAATTGAGGATGTCTCCATGATGTACGTGTAGGCCACATTTCTCAGAGGTTCAACACTCAGCATGTTGTGCTCTGGACTGTGTGAATGTCAGCCAGCTTGCTGGATTTAGGCATAAGATCCATATCCCACGAATATAGCTGAGCTCACTTGACTAATGTTCTGTTCTGATAGTTGTAATGGCTATTTTCCATATAATAGTTTCCTCTCCTAAATGATCTTGTGTCCAAACTAAAGGTCTGTTCTTCATCTGTTTTAAATCAGTATGTCTGTGCTGATTTAATGCTTACGTATAATAACGAGTAAGCTGGAAATTTATAGCTAGTACTGTTATGCAAATGCACAGAAACTCATGGCACTGGTGTCACCAGTGACAACATTGGTAAGGATGTTGAGACATTTTGGAGTTCCTATTTGTGATGTCACTTCTGAGAATGTGAAAAATCACTGTGTTTCAGTCTTTGGGGGAGGGATGTAAGGATGGGGAGGCCTAGGACTCAGCTTTCAGTGAGATTTCAGCTTTTTGTAATGTAATTTTTGTAATGTAATTTTTGTTTCTACACTTTTCTCACCAAAGCAATCTTCAGAGCAGTGCTGCTAACAAACAGAATGTTACTATCCTGGGATATCAGACCTTACTTGCAAAACTTTTATTTGCTTGAATAGCAACCAATCTCAAAGCCCTTCTTGCTTGTAAGTTTTGTCTGTAAGTTTAGGTAGAGACAGCACAGCCACTCTTGCAATAGTTTATTGTGGGAAGCCTAAAGTGAAGCTTTCTTCTGAGTTAACACCAAGGGAGCATCGGATGAAACTGGGAACTGTGTCACAGCAGTGGATTGTCAGCAGCTGAACTACAGTCTAGAAAAGGAAAATGTATTTTTATGTCTTCTGCTTTGCTCCTCTAAGAGACTTTGAGGATCGTTTTTCCCATTTTGCCTATTTACCCAATCTGGAAGTCCATACACTTAAATTACTATTCTGTTTTAAAGAATTAATGCTTCTAGCTTAAGCTTCCAGCATTAACATGGCCCTTCAAATTACAGAAATATTCCAAAAGGATTTGAATGCAAAGAATATTTCAGCATAGAGTATTTCTATTTCCATTTATTTGTTCACTTTGACCTCTGTGAGACTCTAAGCAACTGCTTAGATGTGATGCTGCCATCCTATATTTGAGTATTCCCTTATGGAGTAAAATGAATATAGGCAGGAGAATTTATTCTGGTAGATTCTTCTTCTTAAAGAATTCTAAAGCCATAAGCCAAAAGCTGTGAAACCATGAGCCATGAGAAGAGTTGAAACCATAGGGTGGCCATGATAGTGCTCTGCATAGGTGTTTTGACATCCAAATCCTGACCAAAACAAGTGCTCCACAGCTATCTCATGCCCCATCCTGCACACTATCTGCTGAGCGGTTATCTTCTTCACTCCTAGCTTTTTCCAGAAGGTGTCACTGTTAGGCAGTGGTGTTCAGAAGGCCTGCCGATTTAAAAATAATTGCATGAAAAGGACTTCATGGGTCTTCTTTTCTTGCTATGATTATTCTATTCCTAGTAAATCAACATCAACAGTTAGACCATTAGAATTAGAACATGAAATGGGAACATCAAAGTTGCTCTGTAATTTGAATTTACATTCTGTCTGAGAACATTCCATCCCAAAGAAAATTCAGCCTCTTAGACCACTAGCTTAAGAGTTGAGAGTGTGAAATTGCCAACATGATTGATTGGGCAGTGTTAAAGGACACACTTTTAATGTTCATATTCTGTGCACACAAGCACACATCCAAAAAGCGTATGTGCACCACTGGGCAATGTTTCATGATGAAAAGCTGCAAAAATATTTCTTTTCGCAGGTGTTTAGTGAGATTTGATTTGTTTGCAGACTTCACCTTGCATTGGACTGTGGGTCTTAGAACAACGCATCAGAGGCTATTAAGAAATGAACAGATGACCCAGATTTGGAAAATATTATTAATATGCACAAGAATTGGAACACTGTTCTACAAAGGTGGACAAGTGTCTCCAGGTCTTTGATGTGGTCATATATATTAAAACGAAATGCAAAGGCTCAGATGTAGGAATAATAAACCGGAAGTGCATCTGTAGGCAACAAGAAAATGGAAGATAATTCAAATTATGAAAGTAGACTAAAGAGCTATTTCTAAGATCTGCCACTGAAAAATGAAAATATGGTCTAAAAAAAAATAGAAGAGGTGTTTTTTGTGAAGCCTTAGCACCTCTAACCCAAGGCTGGCTGAGCACTCACCTGGAAATCTGCACCCAGCTCTGGCTTCTCACCTTCAGTTGTGGTGGGTGTAAGCTGGAAGAGGGAAAGCACTAGTGTGCTTAGAGAACTCAATAGCAGCAGGAGAGAAACAATGCTTAAGATGCAGATAAGTGTTATCTTAGATCTAGTGGGCCATTTGAGATGGACCCTGGAGAGATGGAATTGGGGGCAGAACCCTCTATATGTACTGTAGCTACAGACTTTATCATGTCCATAACTACAACACAAGACTAAAATTAGTAGTCTTAGTTTATGAGGGCCTGTTTCCTACTTGTGTTTTCTACACAGTGGGAAAATCATATGCAAGCTGAATGGTTCGTTCATTTCCCATTTGCACTCTGCATGGAGTGTCTGCTGCTGGGTGACATATCTTCTGCCTTGTAATATAAGATGGATAAACCATCCACGAACACCACATAGTGTTTTCGGGAAAGAGGAGTAAGTAGACCAGCCTTCCTAATGCAAGCCCTGGACTGGCACTGATGCAGCGTTGTTTTCCCAGTGATGGGAAAAGACTCATTCCTGAGAAATCTTCATCTGTTATTGCCCAGGGAAGCTGTGGAGGCACTATTTATGGAGGTATTCAAGGCCATGCCGGATGAAGCTCTGGACAGTCCAGTGAGAAGCGTCCCTGCCCATGGCAGGAGGGATGGAGATTATACGTAAGGACTCATCCAATACAAACCATTCTATAGTTCTATGTTTCTTTTGAAATGGAATCCATAAAATAGTGCAACTTTTTTGCTCTGGTCATAACAGTCTTCATCTTGTGAGAAACTGCTCTAGCAGGAGCAGATCTGGAGCAGTGGGTGGGTGAGCTTCTGGGGCTCCTGTAGTTCAGTGGGGAATGAGTATCCTGTGAAAGCACAATACCCACAGCAGTCCTGGTTCTACTTTGAGCAGACCTTGATAGTAGCCCCTTTCTAGCATGGGGATGACCTTAAAGAGGGGCACAAAGCCATAATCTGCCTGTGATTTTTGCTTTCCTCTTACAGCCATCAGAATGGAGAAAGGAAGGGAGAACAGGAGGGAGTGAGCCAGGAGGTATGTCCCTGAAGGACCCTACTGGGGCAGAGTTTCAAGTACTCAGTTTTACAGCACATGCTCAGCAATAAATCTACTATTTAACCAATGTGTTGACAAATCAATCCTGATCTGAGTTTGTATGTTGCTTTGATTCTTCAGGCAAGTATTGAATATGCGGCCAGATTCTTAATATAGAAGCAATTGGAAGTAGGTCATTTCCGCACTTCAAATGCCATTTAAAAACTCTACTTAAGCTATGGAAGAAAGGGAAAAGTTTTCCCCATCTTTTCTTCTTCCTTGTTTTTTGCAGCACAAATCAGTCTATGAAAATAAATTGGCATGAAATAAAAATTGTTATTTCCTTTTTTCTTCAATTTTACTCTTTATCAGGACAATTTTAATGAAATCCATCTATTTACTTTGTGGGACTCTAGTAACATACCTTCTCATTATACCATAAATAATGGCAAAGTAAAAATCTCACGACTATTACTTTAAAAGCAAATTTATGGTTTTTTTAATGGATTCCATAATACAGATTTCAAAGTTTACAGTAGTTTAACCATAGACAAACATTGTGTCCTTCCCTCCTTTGTAATTCAGCTGCTCTTTATTTTCTTTTTCAGCTTTATATGGTTTAAACATCTGTTCCCTCAGAGTCGTTCCATGCCTGCCTGCCTTATTAGAGGGTTTGGTGCTGGAGTCCTCTGACTGAACGCCAAAGTCCTTCCCTTTGTTTTTCTCAGTGACGTACACAAGAACTTTGAGGTGGTGTAAGAACAGAGGGATTCATGGCTAATAAATACTTCATCTAGATGGGTGAGTGTTTGAGCTAGGCTGTTAGCTTAATTCTAACCATAAGGAGCAATAACCACGGCATACTTTGGGTGGGAGAAGACATCAATCACTGTCACTTTTCAACAAAGGAAAATGAGTAGAGATGGAAGAAGCTTTTGAAAACTGGGACTTAAATTTTCATCCTGGCTAATTCTTCTCTGGATTGCTGGTGTTCCTAAAAGCCATCTTGCAAGTCTTTTTTTCCAGTGGCAATGTTACTCCTGTTACTCAGTAAAATTGGATGATTAATATGTGCATTCTGACAAAGGCCGGCTACAGATACATTACTTGTAATAGAACATAGGGATACCCTCACTCATATCAATCTCTGGGTATATAGGGAGGTTTTCCAAAGTAACTCCCTTGACATATTAGGACTGACATACTTCTGCTGTGCTCTGAAATTCATTTTAAATCTTTCAACTTAGGGAGAAGTAACTGCTGTCACAAATTAGCATGCTGTCATATTGAGCTCAGAAAGTTCTTTTTCATGCTCATTTTATGTTCCATTTATCCTGCTATTAGTAGAGAATAAGAAGATTTACTTTTAAATGATTATGTAAGGTTTAGCGGAGTAATGATTTCTTGATGGAATTCTTTCTGATGTGGAAATGAGTTGCTTCCTGTATAAAGTTTTGCATTCACTGTTTTTAAGGAAACAGGACTGGGGCAAATGTCTGCGCCTCTCAGAAATCAAAATATCTCAGGAGAACAGCTTTTGTTACGAGCAGCTGTACTTGCCTGTCTGGGCTCTGCAGTCAGCTCGATGTGAGCACAGCTCACCCCTTTGTGCTTTGCACTCCGAGGGTGAGCTCCTGGCTCTGCAGATGCCAGGAGAGGTTTTGCCCTTGACTCCAGGAATTCATGACATCAACTTCAGCCTTCACAATGCAGCCTGTCTCCCTGTGGCTCTCTGTTTTCCCTGACAACCTCCTTAGCGTTCCTACAGTTATTAAAAAAACTCATTGCTGCTGTCCCTTCCTATTTGTTTTTTGGATAATGTGTGCATCCAAAGAAATCTCATCTTCATCGGTAGCGTCACTACTGTCACTAGCATGGGGAAGGGGAAGCTCTGACGCTGCATCGCTGTCTGTGCCCATTACCAGCAAAGGAAAGAGATCTCCTATATGTCTTATCCATTTAAGAAGAGTCTTTTTCAGTTGCAGAGCGTCAGTCTCCTAACTGTGTTCAACATAGCAGTTTTTTCTTGCAGATATTTTCTGCCACTTTCAAACAGCTGAGTCTTGGTTTTTCTCATTGTTCTGGAAAACTGTTGTCATTCAGATGAGTTGCTACTTCTCTAAAATCTCTATCACTGCCTAATTTCTTTGAGATCCAGTTGACTCACGTAACAATACATAAATTAGAATGAAATTAGAAGAGCATTTGCTCTCTATTTTCTCCCAGTTGTTATTACTCCATACATGTCAGCTTTGGATTTACACCAGTGTAAATTTTGAATAGGAGCAGAACTGGCACAATCCTTTAGGATCTTCTGATTAAACTTATTCAGCCTGTTTTATTTTTCAGGCTGTATTATTTTTTCCTCTCTTTTTATACCTTCTTAATCCCTAGTGTTCTGATCAGATGGAAACATTTCTTTTGCTTGTTCCTTTGGTAAAATCATGGATGAAATTACTGTACAATAATGGTCCCAGTTTTGCCATTTCACATCAGTGGAAATAAAAGAGAGGTTGGGAGGGAGCTTGCACATAAATAAGAAAACTTTAACACTCTTTGATAGTGCTTTTATTTACAAAAGAAAGAAAAAGAACTTCTAAGGGAAAAAAAAATGCATCATGTCTCAGCATTATTCAAAAAAAGAATTTTTAAATAGAATTTTTAATTTAAAAAGGTTTTTATTTGTTATTTTGGTCTGACTGCTGAATATGTGGTTAATTGAATGGTTTCCTATATCTCACTGGTTTCATTTTTGGTTATTTTCACCTTCGTTAATATTTCTTCAAATCTTTCTTCTATATTCAGCTTGGTTGAGGTTCATTTTATTTTCTTATTGGGCTTAAGCTGTCTTTTAAATAGTAATATGTAGTCAGAGGACGTTTTCAGAAAGCGGGAGATTTGGATCCCAAACACTTCTCAAACAAAAAGCATTTAAATAATGTTATATGTACAGAATGGACAATTTACACTTGGAAGAATGTTGTAGTCATCTTTTTTAAGTATCCTAATTAAAGCTATGCTCTTTCGTAGATGTATTTCTTTGTGCAAGTCATCTACATATTTATTGAACCAGAGAAGAAAAAACTTCCCAGCATAATAATTAGACTCCTCACCTTAGGAAATAGGAAAACAGATTTCCACTCTGTGATTATTGTGAATTATTACTTCATGTTTTAATATGAAATGAAGAAAATCTGGGAGAGATTGAGTGTTTACATCTTGGCTTATCAGTCATTTATAAAGAAACAGGGTGAGGTAGATTTACAACATCTTAATAAATGGAACCAAATTCCTAACAGATATGGGAATTATTTTAATTGTTAAGCGATCAGAGAAAAGGTTAATTATTCTCCTTAAACCTAGTTTTTCTTTCTTAGATTCATACTACAAACATTTGGAATTAAATTTTCTCTCAAAATGAAACTTAGCTTTGTGGTATCTTCTTTGTAAAATCTTGGGGTTTTTTTAATGAACAAGAACATTTTCTTCTCTAAGCACTCTACATTGTTTTGTTTTCTTTTCCAGCCTTCAAACACAGAAAAGCAGTTATGAGATCGTTTCTGCTTACCTATTGAATTCATTCATTCTTGTCATGACCAATGAAATTAAGGCTAACTACTTTGAGAAATTTTGTGCTTTTCTTATGGTTCACAAAATGGAAATGGCTTACCAGAATGTCTGTTCTAACTCCAGAAATAGTCCTTGATTAGCAGCATTCAGCAAAAAGTTGTTGCTGTCTCAATGTATTTGCCAGTGAATAATTAATACATCTGTGCAAAAGCACTCCCTCCTATAGCTGCCCTGGTTCTCTAATGAGCATTATTACTGACCAGGCACTGACAAAACATTTCACACACTTAAAAGCTGTCTGGAACTGTTTTTTGGTACATTAGTATATCTGAAGGGTTACTTGATTTGGCAAATTTCCTGTAGATAGCCACCTCTCATCCCTTTGAACTAATTTATAAACAGTTTGGCAGGATAATCTTGACAGTCTTTCAGTTCACCATCAGTAGTTTCAGAAGCCCCTTCTCCCTGAAAATAATAAGGAAATAGATCTTGGCATTCAAATTATTTCTACCTATTCCATACTAGATCTCTTCGAGTGATTTCTTCAACTAATTCTCTTGTAATTCATGTCAGTTACTGCATATCTTTTAATCCTGTTAACAAGAGAACAGTGATTATTTCATTAAGGAGCTCACTGGAAAAATGATCTAAACTGTTCTCTGAATCATTAAACAAAGCCCATAATTGAATTATGTAATACTTGGGAGAAATTTCTGTTCCAAAGGGTCAGCAATGAATATCAGTTTCTAGTGTATTAAACACTGACCAAGGGCATAAAGAAGAATGATTTTCTTTGTCTGTTTCTTATTTTTTGCTAAATTAGCAAATTGATTTAAAAATTTACAACTGAATAATTTATTAAAAAATGAAATGATGTCCAAATGTAGTTCTTTTTCACAAAGTGAAATGTTACCCAACTCATCTTGGTGATGCACCTTCACTGTTGACCTGCTGATCAAATGTAGTCCAGTACAGAATGCGTATGAAAATCAAAATTTTATTTTATTTTATTTTAGAATATATAAACTTTATTGCTTTTGGATATATAAATTGATTTAATGGTACTCACTCAAGCCCTTTTCCCTACCAGCTTCCAAAGAGACCAATTGTTCTCCTGAAAAGCCTGGCTGACTTACCACCGAGTATTTGTCAGATGTCAAGATACACATGTCAGAGGAAAGGTGGAAATCTCAAATGTGAAGGTCTGTGTCTCTTGGAAAGATGTGACCTGTCTCTCGGGAATAAGGTTAATCTGTTTATCTGGTAACAAATTACAAATCAAAATCTGTTTTTGGTTTCGCTGTGATGCTAAGAATATTGAAGCACCAAGTCATAGGACAGAACTTGATGACTGAATCTTTAAATGACTTACGTGGCTATTCTCAACGTTATTAGAATGGTAGGCTTTTTTTTCTATTCCTTTATTCTCAGAATTCTACTTCCAGAACATTAAGTCCTCAATACACAAAAGGGAAATTCAAACTGCTGTTAATACCATTGCTGATGTTTTGCTATATATCTTCAGCAATATTATATCAGATATGAGAAAGTAAACAGTTTTCAAAGTAGCAAAAAAAAAAAAGTAAAAAAAACATGCATTCACCTTCCCGCATGTTGTATTGGTGTTTTGAAAGAACAGCTTGATAAAACTGAAAAAATTTAAGAGCTGAATAATATGGGAGAAAACATTTTAAAAGAAAATTGTGAATGATAGTTGGGAGCTACTTAGGAATATTTTATCAAATACTCCAAAAGCCATAATTGAGACAAGGCCATATTGGTTAAAAAAATAGAGACACAAAACAGCCAGAAGAAAACAAACTAATAATAATAATAAAACAACCAAACTTTTATTTGAAGAAAAAGTAAAAGCAGATATGAAACAAACAAAAAAACAAACAAACAAAACAAACAAACAAAAAAAAAAGCAGGAAAATGTACATTTCTATAAATGAAAGAAAGGGAAATTTGATAGATAGATAGATAGGACTTCTTCAATACTTCAATACAAATGCACGAAGAGAGAACTCTGGGTAATTTCTAGAATGTCAGAAGGAAATTTTAAAAAATACTGATAAGAAATCCACCTATTGCATTGTTCCATCATTAAAAGAAATTCAGAGAATTGTCTATAATTATAAAAAGGAGTAGAATTGCTCAGTAAATATTCATGCCCTGAGAATGGAAAAAGAACTAAGAGATACATTCACACCAAACTGATGTTTAAACTGTTTAAGCATCTGATGTTTAAAGACATTGAGCATTTGTTTTTCTTGGTAAGCTTATGCTTAATAAACTACCATCTAAACATTAGTTCTCATCTAGAACTGGGAAGAAAATTATGCCAGTACCAATATTTTTAATAAGTAAGACAATGCTTCCAATAGTTGGAAGAATCATGGGGGGATGCTGAACAACTTCTGTGTGAGAATTGAAGAGGGTGTCTTCAGCATCAGACAATCCAGGAAAAAAAAAGGACAATGCTAAAGGCAATGGAAACTAAGCATTTGACGTTTGGCATTCTGGTCAAGAGTTAAAAGGGACAATCAATAATATGATACATATTAAAACCTCAGTAGTGGGTTTCGAATTGTAAGCTTCTTAGAGAGCTGACAATAGTACAGGAGGAGTGGCTCTTTGCCTATGCATTGGTAACATTTTAGTCACTAATATGAAAAAATAGAATGTTGGGATTTTCAGAAAGTACTGAAACTGAGTATCGAGATATCCATGCAAAAAAGCTTGGAGTACTGATGCACGTATATATATATGTGTATGTATATATATATATATACATGTTTTCTTTTCATGTGATTAAATGGAAGGTCATTTGTCTAAATGACAACAACGCAACAGAGAAAATGATGACTGTGAAAAAATCATTGGTAATCCTTCGAGGTGGCTCTTCTCAGATGTGCAAGGCCTGCAGATTCAAGAGCAGGAGGTCAGGCCTGAGAACCTTGTACCTATGGATAGTGAAAGCCTCTGGGAGGTATTTAGTATATTGCAGAGAAGATTTGCAACTAAATATCATGTATGTGGAGAAAAAAAGCTTTGGAATAGGCAGAATTTTAACCTGGCAGAAAAAAATCATGAGTACAGATAGCAAGTAGAGTCATGCTGTCAACTGGCACAATTCAAGGCAAGCATGTTTCAAGACATGGAATATGATTTAGTGAGCAGC